CATTAGGCATGTCTTGTCGAGCCGGCCAGTTTGATTGTAAGTTTGTTGAAATCAGGATTCTGAATAAAGTTTGATCAAAGTTTGAATGTTCCTTGCTGAAAAAACTGCCTCAATATTCATTTTATGCCTCAAAATTTAAGTCGGATTATAAATTTGTTGTTGGCATATGTGTATCAGTGTTAAAAATATCCAACCAATAATTTGGAACAAATTATATTTTAGAACTACTTGCTCGTTTAACTCCTTCATAAAAAAATATTTATTTAATAATTTGTGTAATATTAATCTTTCACATAATGATCGACTTGAGAGCTATGAAATATCTAAAATTTAATTCTTCTGTCTTAAAAGTGTATAATCAGTTGACAAAAATGAATATCAAACAGGATAGGATCGTTACTATTTCGATATTATCATAATCATTATTGTGTTACCTTTATCAATTATTTTAATATGAATGTAATTTTTATAAGATTCTTACATATTATTGAGCTAGGTGAAACATTTGAATGATACTTTGCGTGTTGATGTATATTATGATGATTTGAAACTCTTCTAATCGGTTGATGTACAAAATATGGATCTATCCAAACCTTTTAATTGCAAGCTAGAGTGTTAGGATGGCTTTGGGCCAACAGTGTGGTAGTAGGGTTGTGTCGCATCATATTGTTTTATGTGTCTGGCAAAACTGTGTTTGGTTATTGTTTTCAAAAAGCTGTCGCAGAAAACTGTGTTTTGCAATCGCTTCTGTTTAAGTGTGGGGGCTGCTAGAAAATTACGATCTACTTTAAAAAAATAATTGTAATAACCACCCCAAATTTTTGAAAAACAAGTTTCTTATAGTAACTTCAAACGACTGCAACTACCCCAAACAAGCACTTAATGTAGGTTGACATGGCCACAATTTTTCTAATCATATTTGGGTCAACCCTTAGAATTGCGGTTAAGTAATTTTGAATCCAAAATTGTTAGGAGAATCACGCCTAAGATATAGAACATAAAAAGAGAGAGGAGTAAGAAGGGAAGTGGAAATGAACAGTAAAAATGAGAGCAAGTAGAGCTTTTTCTTATGAAATGATGTCCTATTTATAAGTATAGAAAATACCCAGAGTACATAATTAAATCTAGGACCCCTTCTATGCAAAGAAGCTTAGGGCATTAAGGTCATTTTTACAATATTTAAATATATTAAAAATGAATTTACTAGTCGGTCGTGATGACTTTCGGTCGTCAATTCATGTTCATTCATTCAATGATGACAGACTGAATTGCATAAGAACAATATGAAAATCTCCCGACTAAGCTTATCCATGGTTTTACTTCAGTCTTCGGCTCACTTTCGTCATTCGTTTGGCGGTGAGTTGTCCTTCGTTCGGCCTGGTGTAGAGCTGCCATTCATGTCGCATGGTGTGGAGTTGTCCTTCTTTCGGCCTGCTTTGTTAGTCGGCATGCCTACTGAAGAGACTGACTTATGAGAGCTTAGAAATGTTTTCTCTTGACATAACATCAAATTTTACTCTAATAAAGTAAATTAGTGTTTGATTGGATCTTTGTATAATTTTACCGTGGGTCCTCTTATTTTTTGTATATCTACATTTTCTCTGAGATTCATGTTGTCGTAATCTTATCATACATGTAATAATATCAACTTATAGAATAATTCATGCTAGGGCCTAGGGGTACAAGGAAATAAGAAGTTAAAACTTAGGAGTTCATTATTGTATGACCGAAAACCCTTAGGCCAGATTCATAAAGAGAGTTGGCTATACCACGCACTAATCGATAAATCAATTCTCCGTTTCTCCATTGATATTTTCATTTCTAATTATTTCCTTGATGTGTGAGTCCACAGACGAATCAAAATCTAACAATAAAAATTTAATCCAAGATTTATAACAAACATGATCATTTAGAGAATAAAGGTTTATGGTTAATCTCATCATTTTTGCCTTTTTTTTTGCCGCCGTGTTTGCATCTTCCTCTTTTTTTTTCTTCTCCTTCTTTTGCTGCTTCAGCACCATTTGCTTTTTCAATCTTTATTTAAGATCTTAAATGATTTTTTTTTAAATTTTCAGGAAAAAAAGCATGTAGGGTTGATTAAAACTCTAAAAAAAAACTGACTAAGTTTGATTCAAAAAATTCACAATATAATTATTAGTTAATATATATCCCTTATATGATTATGATATAGAAGTTGATAAGAAGTTAGATATTAGTATTTATAAGGAAATCCAACGTACCACTAAAATAAATAGAAGGTTTATAAGCTACTAGGCTATTTGAAAGCTTAATAAGCCCTAAGTTCATAGAAAAATAATCGAGGTATACTACTTATTTTTATGAAAGACCTTGCTAAGTTATTGAAACCATACGATGTTTATAAAAATCCTTGTACGCTATTAGTGGGAAAAGAATCGGGTTTGAGATAGAGGTTTGCACCCCTTTTAAATTTAGTTTTAACATAATGTCTAAATATTTAGTTCATAATAGATGTTAAGAAGTTAGTTAGAATTGATGTGCGTCTGAACGTCCATGATGGTAGAGTAATGAATTATTGTCTTAGTGTTGTAAAGAAACCTAACACACACTTAGCTAATTAAAATTAAGTAGGAGAAGGCACATAAATTTTTACGTGAAAAATCCTGGAAATGGAAAAAACTATGATGCCTAACCTTGTTCAAATATTCCACTACGGATGGTGAGTATACAAGTCCACTCTTTCTAGAATATGTGTCATTGAAAGTGATAGCAGGATGGGAACTGCACTTAGGAGTGAAACCAAACATTCATAGTTCTCCTAACTGGAGCCTTTTCTGACTAGCTCACCGAGATGATTCCCCGCCTTCAAAGATTTTTGGTACTATCCAAGCGATGTTGATGACGTTCACTCAGAATGGTTCATCTGACATCTCCTCTACTGAAGCCTTCCCTTGCCTTTGAGTTAATGTTCCTAGTGCTACAAATTCTTTGAGCTTTCCAGCCCTGATTAGCTTCTTGAGTAGGCTACGGAGGTGCCTTCACACCTTTTTATCATAGTCGTAGTCCCTATGGCAAGAGTAACACTTCTTCGTGCCCTTGAGAATTGCTTCGGCTAAATCTGTGGCGCTTTCTTGAAGTACTCTTTATTTTGGATGGCCTCCACTAACTCTGCCATCGAGACTCTCAATGGGGTGGCCTCTGGCTTTTCGTGGTCATTTGATGGTCATTCAAGGTAACAAGCTAGTTGCTAGTCAGTGTGCCCCTCCTCACCTCCTTTGTTGTTATTCTTGTCACCCCACTATCGTCCTGAGGTGGTCAAATGCCTTTGTATCGTGGTCAAGCAGAAGTGTCCTCCCTCATACTGCATTGGTCGTCTCTTGAAGCCCTCCTTATCAGATGGTGGGTGGTTGCTTCAGTCATAGAGGACGAGGGAGTAGAGTTGTACTACTTGGCCTACATACCATTGTTGATAAGCTCCAACAAATAGACCAAGTTCTTGGGTCGCTGAAGACCCAGAGTGTAGCAGAATGATCCTTCTTTCAAACCTTGAGATAGGGTGGCATGTGTTATGGCAGGTTCTAGATCCTACACTTTCAATATCTCCTTTGGAATTGGGTGACAAATGACCAGAGGCTTTTGTTGTGCCTCTGCCTGATCTGTAGCAGGGCCTACAAACTCTTATGAGACTTTTGAGCGCTGACAAACTGTGCCACGAACATCATATGATCCTCAACAGGAATACGGTCGACTCAAAGAAGGTGATACAGTTGGTTAGATCAATCGAAACCTTATAGAGTTTAAGTGAAGGTATCTTGAACTTCTCAAATGTTCAACTGAAATTTGTGAAAAGAATGTATTCTCTGGCTGGCGGGGAGGTGCTCAGTATGTCTAAGTTGTTGCATGTCGATCGGCACATACCCAATACTTTCATGATACTAGGAATCTTCAGCCCTTTCTTCGGGCAAGTGTGCCCTCCGATCATCGGGCGCCTGTCTTTGTTCTTGGGGGTTGTGCTCTCGGGAGATCTTCTCTATTCCTCGAGCTGCTACGGATTCTCAAGATGGAACTTGCTTTGGTAATGGCTTGGTAAAACGGCAGAATCGAAACCCACAAAAAACAGCCAAAAAAAAAAAAAAAAAACTGAAAAAAAGTGTAAATAAATGCGGATTCCTCAGAAGGGAGAAGTTTTTAAATAGGTGTGTCCAAAGATGCAGATTCAATTAGGATGATTTACATACATACCACTTAATTCCTATGTATTTATTTACATATCTAATACCTAAAATTCAATTATTTACGTCTATACCACTTAACCTTTGCATGAAATAATCTATTTTACTTTTTAAAAATCAAAATAAAAATATTTTTTTAATGTGATATGAAAGATTTGAATGACATAAATATAGAGTTGAGCATTCAGTGGGTTCGAATGAATCGATTTACAAAATTAATTAAATAAATTGCAACTAAAATCTAAAATCCGAGGAAACCAAACCAACCAAAATTTGATACAACTTGAACTCACCGAACCAATGTTCACATTAAAAATTAATTATTAGTCAGAATTTGATTATGAACAAATATAAAAAATTATATATTTTAAGTATATAATAACAATTAAATTTTATTAAGCATATGTTTATTTTAATCAAGTATTGCATATATTTCAAATAATAAACTTTTATTGTTTCATGAAATTAAAATACAAGAAGATCTACATATTATCCACTTAATTCTTATTCTTATGTATTCACATATTCACATATATACCACCCAAAATCTTTTTTTTCTTTTCAAGCATTTCATAAAGATCCACAAAAATAACAACAGTGAGATCCCCCAAAAACACGAAAAGAAAGTCCTTCATTGCAAAACAGGATTAGCATCAAGACATCATTCCATCAAATTCTATTAAAATGAAATCATTACATATTAAGAATACCACCAACAAGAAATCTACCGCCAACTTTCAAGAAAAAGCCTATAAACATTCTTCATACATATACGAAGACAAATAATGATCAAAAGTTACTCGTCCCTCCCCTTCGGCCCCCACTAGCATCCGCCGCTCTCATATCTCGCAAAACATTAGGATTGTCGGTGGGGAGCTCGTGCCTGCACACCGGGCAAGAATTATGCAGTTTGAGCCATGGAACTATACAGTTCTTGTGGTAAAAGTGCTTGCAAGGCATCCACATTGCCTCGTCCCCTATCTCAAATGCGTCCACGCAGACGACGCAATAAGCTTTCTTGTCACCCGAGACCATTTCTGCGGAGACTTGTCTGCTCGGTAGAGCCTCTAGCGCCGACCTCGCTGTTGGCGGAGGGCCGCACTGGTTTGGATCATTCTCGATATTTTCGGCAAATGTGTTGACGCCTCCTTCGTCTCCATTGGACGCAACTTGGATGCTTGAGCTGCCGGAAAAAATCCACTCGATGTATTCCTCAACGAAGCGTTGCGGATCGTAGCCTGGATTGTCTGGTGACGGCATGAGGGAGGGAATGGAGTCTAGACTCAGCAATGTCTCCGGAATTTTGAATTTCGATGCAGCCGGGGGTTGCCACCGTTGAGAACAAAGACCAAGTTGCCCTGGGTACATATTTATATACAAATATTCAGTATTATACTATTTCATGTATTTTGTTTTCAAACTTATTCTACTCATTTTTTGCCCGAAATAACAAAGCATGTAGGCTAAGATGTCGCAAAGTCAGCAAATTTATTTTTGCTGACTGTAAAATGTGGGGTAATTGTCTAATCACCAAACTAACATCTCATCTACGATAAGATGCATAGAATGGAAGTTCAAAATCTAAAGCACACAAGGTTGTTTTTTTTTTTCTTTTTTTGCGTGGGAAAAATTGTCCAATGACAAAACTAAGGGAAAAATTTCCGAATCACGAAACTAACATCTTATTTGCAGTAAGATGTAGTATGGCAGCCCACAATCTATAAAAGCAGACAAAAATTGCCCTGACGATTTTATATATAGTTGATCCTGTGCACTTATGTCTATTGTCAACTACTTTTTGATTAAAAATAAGTAAGATTCACATTCATACCGCTCATTTAAGATTCACTTTCATACCGCTCATTTCTCAAGTATTTACATATCTAACACCTAAACTGGTAATGCATGAAAAGATGTATTTCATTTTTCAAAAATTAAAATAGTGATATTTTTATGAGAAATGAAAGATTTGGGTGGTATAAATATGAAAAGCAAAGTTGAGGTGTTACATATTTAAATACATAGTAATTGGGTGAAATGTAGGTGTACATCAGAAATGTGCTAGCATGAATCTCGAAGAGATCCAACGGATCAACAAACAAAAAGTACGACTAAGGAGGGCCAAATGTGGGAGGCCAAAGAGTCCACTACTGAAAGATTAAAGAGCCTACTTGACTTTATGCAGCCTCCCTTGAACCAGGGCTAAAGGTCGATTGGGTGCAGGCCACCTGAACCTGGGACTAAGGTCAATCGAGCCAAGCAGCAGCACTGATCTGCCTATGGCGACAAACCGACTCATGGCAAGTGTTCAATACCACCATCTACCTCACAGACGGCCCTGAGATATCTCATCAAAGGCTAGGAATCGATAATATTGTAATTTGTGAGCATCTTAAAGGACCTCATCAAAGAATGAGTTATGTATCAGATTTACAGTGATTCACCATTTGGTTGATAGCATAGACACATTCTGCTGACAGGAGCTCCTTAGCCAATAATCAATAGTTGACAGCTAAACTAGGATGATCGACCGACAGAACAGAGCTGACTGAACGAGTTCTGGGACTCGAAGACCATAACAGGCCGACCGACAGCCCTGATTCAAGACGGTGGACGAGCAACTCCTGATGAACTAAAGCCCATTGATTTCAGCCAACCGAGCTTGTCAAGGGATACTGGGTCGAATGCTAGTACATGTAAATGCCTAAAAATATTATATAACGCCCTCATTCAAGTAGAGCAAGCATTTAATTTTACATTGTGTATCCCCTCCTTTATAAATATGTGTATCATTATATGGAAAAGGGCTAATCAACAAAGCTTATGACTTGCTAATTCCATAAATAAAAAGACGTAATATTTTTCTCTTCAATTTATTTAGTGTTATTAACTGTGATACATGCATGGGGCGGTAACATCCACAGTCATAAGTGGGAGTAAAGTCTTCCATGACTCGTAGCTCACAATCTTAATATATTACATCTTAACCTTGTGTGCTTTAGATTTTGGACTTCCATTCTATGCATCTTACAGTAGAAGAGATGTTAGTTTGGTGATTATACAATTTTTTTCACACAAATAAAGAAAATGAAAAAAAAAAACCCAAATTTTATAGTCAGCAAAAATAAATTTGTTGACTCTATGACATCTTAGCCTACGTGCTTTGCTATTTCGGGCAAAATATGGGTAGAATAAGATTGAAAATAAAATACATGAAATAGTAGAATACTGAACATTTGTATATAAATACATACCCAGGGCATCTTGGGCTTTGTTCTCAACGGTGGCAACCCCCGGCTGCATCGAAATTCAAAATTCCGGAGACTTTGCTGAGTCTAGACTTCTTGCGCCGTCTGCGTGGATGCATTTGAGATAGGGGAAGGGCAATGTGGCTGCCTTGCAAGCACTTTTACCACAAGAACTGTATAGTTCCATGGCTCAAACTGCATAATTCTTGCCCGGTGTTTAGGCACGAGCTCCCCACCGACGATCCTGATGTTTTGCGAGATATGAGAGCAGCGGATGCTAGTGGGGGCCGAAGGGGAGGGACAAGTTACGGTCTATTGTTCTAAGTTGAGAACAAAGCCTAAAGATGCCCTGGGTACGGATTTATGATATCCATTAAATGGTGTGAACTTTCTAGATATCTCTGGTCTATTGTTCTAAGTGATGGTGATATAGATGAGGATGATATTAGTAGAATTCAGGTTGGATGGTTGAAGTGGAGGAATGCGTCGGGCCTATTGTATATGTTTAGGGCAGTCCAAATGGCTCGTCATTTACGAATAACTACTGCTTGGCTCGAAAAGTTGCTTGTATGTGATTCACTAGTTAACTAAGCAAGTCAAAAGAGAATAAATTTTTTGGGCTCGATTCGTAATCGAGTTGAACACAAACCAATGTTTGTTCCATCGTGTCGACTCGTTAAGACTTGAAATAATTTAATAATTAAAACAATATATTATAATGTTTTTATATTAAAATTTTATGATTTATGTAATACAAAAATTTAAATCAAAAATATATTAAATTTTTTTAAATTGTATTTTTTAATCTAAAGAATATAATTTTAATCCCAACAAAATAAATTTCATCTAAAATCCTAAATTCTAATAAAATAATAAATATTTATGCCTACAGGGCTACACCACACTATTCGGGTTCTCTCCTTTCTATAGCGAAGGGCCGAGAGCGGAGAGCTCGTCTTTCCTTGCTTCTTTTCCCTCCATTCCTACTTCAAGAGATCTCTCGCCTGATCGTGATCTCTAATTGTGTGGCTATGCGCTTGTGTTGTGTGCATCGTGGCGGTGGAACAGCTTAAAAGAGCAAAATCTTTCTAGGGTTGCTCGGGTTTGTCTCCTCCAAACTCATATCTTTCGATTCAGAGCGGAGATCTGAGGCTTACATGGTTTTGTGTTCGTCTATCTTACTTTATTCAAGTTTTGTTCTTCTTTCTCTCTTCTTTAATATGTTCTTACCGTTGTTTTGGATATAGGGTTTTTAACTTTTGATGCTCAAATACCGATTGATCGCCTTAGTGAGTTGCCTGGTGAATTCATTAGCTCATGTTTTAGGGTTGTGGGCGATTTATCCTATTCGGCTAAGGGTGGCTCTACGTTGACATTGGTATTGAATTATTTTTTAAGTATATGAAAACTCACCGCTTAGGCTTTAGAGCAGACATCGACAAGCCTTCTCATTGTGGTTGAAAGAAAGCAAATTTTTTATTCTGGTTTCTTCTCTTTCATGTAATAAGAAAAGCTTAGATGTTTATTTATAGAGCTCTAATTTACATGACAGGTAGCTATTAAAAAACATTAATTAGTTATTGTGATTTAAAGCATTTAGCTTTTGTGATTCAAAGCATGATTTTCTCAGACCTGCTGTTAAATGCGATTAATAAGATGATATTAGATGGAAATTAATGAATACAATTATTGATCTTTGGCAATCTATAAAATTTTTCATATATCTAGAAATAGCTTTAATATTTGGTTTGAATTTGTTATGTTCATATTGTCATTTAAGAGAGAAAATTATTATCCTAGTTGCATCGAATTGTGTTCCTCATCAGTCCTTCCCAATATGAGGTGTCTAAGAATCATGCTACCAAATCATGTTTGATATAATGTTTTAACTCAAATATACAAAGTAAATACCAAAATATTTGAGCTCATATATACATGTTTCAACACTTTCAATTAAGGGAAATTTACATGCATACCATACAATTCTTATGAATTTATAGATTCAACACCTAAACTTTCATATTTACATTTGCATACAATTCTTATGTTAAGGATTTGAGAGATATGCATGTAGCTATTTAAATTTGGGCTTTAGATATCTAATAAATAAAGATTACATACAATTCCTATGCTTTCTTTAACTTACTAAATTTTGCATGTGCATTTGATTTGTGAAAAGTCAATGGTGGTGGTTTGCTCTTATCCAGAAGAATTAGTGCACACAGAGTGTCCACGAACTTTCAGTCATGTTTTGGTTTGTGGTAAAATAATGTTGGCACTTCAAAAGTAGTTATGAACAATCTATTCTTTCGATTTTGATCTATGGACTTTTGCCCTTATGATGTTAAGAGTTCAAACTTACGCAATATTCCACCACAAACATAAATTTCACTTGTAAATGATTTAGTCTCTGAAGTGTGGTCAGTGTTGTAAATTTTTTTGATTTATTTCTACTAAAAGCAAGGATATTTGATGTTTTATTAGTTTATCGAGTGTTGGGTGTTGGCATGATTTTTATTTGATATCACATGCCTAGGATGTCCACTTAAACCCAATGAAATTAAGTTTGATGCATGTTTTGATCTTCGTAGTATGGGACATCTATTTGAGATCATGTGACGTGTACTAAAGGGTACGCAGCCAAGATTGCTCTATTGGACTCTAGATTTCTCTGAGGAGAAGGTCAACCAACATTTGTCTATCAGATGACTTTGTTGAAAAACATATTCCTTCAGGCTTAACTCATCTCAATCGTCGCTCAAGTTTTTCGAACAACCCCCGATAATAAAACCAAAGGCATGAGCATGTCCCGAAAGCCAACTTTGCCTATGGAGGACACCCATATAGTGGGTCTTTATATACAAGTTATCGACATGTAAATCGAGACAATTCAATTAAAAATTTTTAAATTGAAATAATAATAATAATAAATCTTATATCCCTCATGCCATATCCCTTCTCAGTGGACAATAATAATAATAATAATAATAATAATAATAATATATATATATATATTTTTTAAGCCCTAGCCTCCTTCCCTGCTTGGCCAGGCTCCCTTGGTTCCCGGCCAGATCTCTCAGCCATCACTCTTAGATCCCAAAACTTACGTCGAGCTCCCTCATCTCTTCATCAAAACCCTGCCACCGGCAAACCTCCCGGTTGCCTCACCTTTCATCCTAAACTCCTATTTTCCTAAATCCCTTGCTAGTTCCTATCGTTCTCTCTATCAAAATCCTAGCCCAACTCCCTGCGCCTCCCGCTATCTTCATTGCCTTCCTTTCTGTTGTCAACCCCACTCACATCTCCTCCTCTGAATCATTTTGAAGGTTGTTGGCATTATTTTTGGTGAGGTCTAAATTCTTTCTTCTAGAATTTAGGATCTAGTCATAAGACTTTTCTATCGACTATTTTAGAAGACTAGTAAGGATATCCACCCCATCTAGAAATTCAAGGCATTTCTTAAATCTTTTTGAAGTCTAATATGGGCGGTCTCAAGTCCTCAGCTTTTAGTTGAGATGACTAGGACCAACATGTGGAGACTAAAAAATGAGTTCTCATAGGATCACAAGGCCTTAGGGAAACCCTAGTGACTTGACCATGCACATACTCATACTCTTTCTACAACTTCACCATGCATCACACTCACCACACTCTTCACCATGCATCACCCCATCACATGCCTCACCAATGCGTCCTAAAACTCCTAAAAGTTTTCAAAATTTCAAAAATACCAAAAATATCAAAATTTCCAAAAATTTTCCAAATTGCCCAAATCCACCAAATATATCAAATTCCCCAAAATCACCAAATTGACCAAAATACCCTAAAATTTCAAAAAAATGCCCAAAATTATCCAAATACCCAATTTTTTTACCAAAATTATTCAAAACTCCTCAAAATTACCCCATTGCCCAAAAATTTCACAAATTTGACAAAAATCCCCAAAATACCTAAATTGCCCAATTTTCACCAAATCCATTTTAAACCCATCAAATTTCAAATCCAAACCCAATTCTATCAAAATTCAAACCCTAGTCCAAGGATATTCAAATTCAAACTCACCCAAGTCCACCCTAAATCAAAGTCCATCAAAATTGGGCCCTTATGCCCAACCCAATTTCATAAAATTCATGTCCTAAACATCATCATGAAAATTTAAAATTTCCAAAATTCATCAAATCCATGGTGGATTTAAATTCTCACCAAATTCAAAGCCAAATTAATCACCCATGGCCAACCCTACTTCTAATTCCTTTGAAATCAAAAGCCCACATGACATGAACTCTCCACCCTCATCCATTTAGTCAAAATTAAAACCATACACCATGGCATGCAAGTTTGATTTCACCTATATTTGGACTCATGGCAATCCTTCACAAAATACCCCAAAAATTCCTAAGTCCTTCATGAAATTGGCCAAGTCATATGCAAGCCATGAAGCCTTTTTTCAAGCCATAGGTAAGCCATGTTTCTCTCTAACACATGTTTAAGCTCTAATCTTGATTCCCTCTAACACATTAAAAGTGTCGAACTTTTCTCATAACTCTCTCTAAGACATGTTTAAGCCCTAATCTCTTGGATGGGGACTTGGCCACACTAATCCAGTTGATCCTCATCAGCTCAAGCCACGTTGGGAGTGACCCAGGTCCATTTTCATGAGCCTAAACCCAAGTTAGGCCAAAGTGACCCAAACCCCTTACCTCTTTGATCAAACACATCCACCCATGCTTGGGCCCAGATGGCTTCACAACTCTCCACCCCTGACCTCCCACAGTGAGATGGTAACCTCCCATGGTCTGGCTGGCCACTCTAGCCGCCTGAAAACTGAAGGCCGAGGAGCACCACCATGTTCAAAACTCAAAATTTCACCTATCCAATGTGGCTCATCCCAATTGGACACTTGCCTCTATCTTCTCTCCACCTAAAAACCACTTTGGACAATTGAGCTCCATGACCGAGCATATAAATAGGGCACCCCCTCACGGCCAAATGGAACAAGTGCACAAACCTTAGGAAACTCTACCAAAATCGTTCCAAACTTCCATTACACTCATA